CCGCGATGTGGGGCTACGAATCACTGTGGAACCATTTGGTGAAGCTGATGAAGAACAAGCAGTACCCCGAGGCTACCTGTATGCGCAGCTGGATACATAAGGAGTCGGTGATTCTAGCTGCTGAGAGGTTACCCGAGGGCCTCTGCACTTTTGAACCCCCACAGGACGCCGTGTCCGCTGGAAAGTTGACCCATCAGCAGAAGGCATATTGGACAGTCACTAATTCCACCGGCCCCAGCGTTGACACTATCTCCAGAAACGCTGCAATAGGATTTAAGCAGGCACAGCACGAGACCCTTCCGGAAGGCTTCCTCCTGGAGATGCATGAGACTTACCTGCGCCACAGCACCGACTACTCTGATTTATTTGGTGTTTTCACCGCCTGGCTGTGGGAGCAGTGGACTGATGACACGACCCCGGGGCCATTCCTGTCCGACTATCTTTCACACCTGAGGCTAAGGACCCATTCAAGAAGGACGCTGTTGCACCGGGACAGCCATGGCTCTGTGTCCATGCGGAACAAGGTGTGAAACCTGGTGTGACTGCCCTGTGATGCATGCCTGTCTTCATCGCTACAACTTGGTAAATACACTCACCACCTTGAGCGACCGTGCCGTACCTATCTGCTGGTGTGCCTCTTGCCTGCATCTGTAGGTGCTTGCCAAGTGCTGCCTCAGTGAGCTGTGGTGCCAAGATGTGTGGGTGCAGCCCACACAACGATCCATGTCCATACCGAAATCTGGACTGTACCTACACCTGTATTGCAGCCATATATTATACTTTACACATATACCAAAAACCCAACCCAAAACATTGTCCCCAATCACAAAGCAGCAGCTGATAACATCCATTAGTCAGGCAATAACCTACAAAAACATAAACTATCTATTGAGCCTAGATGACGAGTACCTACTACTACTAAGACTACTAAGACTACTACTAAGACTACTACTAAGACTACTACTAAGACTACTACTAAGACTACTACTAAGACTACTACTAAGACTACTACTAAGACTACTACTAAGACTACTAAGACTACTATTACTAAGGCTAAGACTACTACTAAGACTACTACTACTAAGACTAAGACTACTACTAAGACTACTGCTAAGACAACTACTAAGACTAAGACTACTACTAAGACTACTAAGACTACTAAGACTACTACTACTAAGACTACTACTACTAAGACTACTACTACTAAGACTAAGACTACTACTAAGACTAAGACTACTACTAAGACTACTAAGACTACTACTACTAAGACTACTACTACTAAGACTAAGACTACTGCTAAGACAACTACTAAGACTAAGACTACTAAGACTAAGACTACTAAGACTAAGAC